TAGGGTGAACCTTCCAAGGATTCCAGTCCTCATTCTTCCATCCGCCCTATCTATAGTCTGTGGATTCTTGAGCAAAATAAATGATGCCACTAAATTTGGAGAATAGTAATGTTACAAAGCCAGTCACTAGAGGCTATATATTTTACTGGTTATTATTACAACCAGATAAATAATATATCAATAGATAATTTTAAACATTCATCCATGTCCCACAGTTTATAACACCTTTATTTGCTTATTATATTTCTTTTCAATCTTTGATGAAAAACACACATTGATATTTTGACTGTGTTAATAGTGTGGACATTTAATTTTGTGGATATTTTCTTTTGTTATTAGATATTTTCACATTTTACTACATAATCATAAAGATTATTAAAACTGAATATATGATAGTTCGTGCAGTGTATATACCTATGGTTTTGACAGACCTAAGCAGCTCTGGCTTAACAGCTCTTTTTCATATTTCGTTCTCTATAAATAAACCCAGAGAAGATATTTGTATACCTGCCACTGGGGGAGATGAAGAGGATATAAGTGATGGGATCAGTGTCTGTCTGTCCCTTCTCTTATGCTGAGTTACTGAAGACTGTCTTGTGCAGAGAGCAGCATGTTGTCTTGGTGTTTTGCTTCAGATGTCCTCTGCACAGTGGTGATGATATTTTTTGGAGTGGAATTCCTAGGAGAGGATTTCCAACTGGGTTGAGAATGGCATGGGAAAAGGGAGAGAAGAATGCCTGGGTAAAAAGGAGAAAGATGAAAATAAATGACCTGAATTCTGCCTGAGGTGAAAGGAATTGATCAGGTCAGGTGAGAAGATGAGACTCTTGAAATCTGATCAGTGTTCAGCTCCAAAGTTGAGTATGTTGGTAGAGAGTCACAGAAACTGGTGGTGGTGAAGTTGAACACAAGATAGTGGGATTGCAGTAAATGGGCATTTGTTTTGGGGTCAGGCAATCTTTACCTTAAATACTTTGGGCTTTCCCTACCAGCTCTAAAATTTGACCTCAGTCATTGAATTTTTCCATTTTCTATTTTTTCATCTAAAGAGTGGGTATGGAAGTTCCTGTCTCCCATGGCTGTAGTGAAAGAAGTGTTGCTAATTATGTATGTCTTTCCTACCCTGTGAGAAGTGCAATTCTATTATAACCTTGAAGTAGGCTAAGAACAGACTGAAGGAGATGGGACGATTCATGTCAGGAAAGTCTTAGGTTTGTTACTTCAGGTCTTTTCTCATATGGAGAGATTGGTGAAGAGAAATACTGGGAGTTGATTAATGAAGTGGACCCTTTATTGACTACCTGCTTAGTGCAAGGCACTCCCAGACTCTGCCAGAATGCACACATGAGTAGTTGGCTCCTTCCTTTCAATGTATTTGTAGTCCCATTGGAAACACAAATATGCACTCATAACTAATTCAGCAAAGGTTAATTCTGATTGCAGGAATTGGGGTAGGTAACATTTCATCTTAGATTTGGCATTTGAATTGAATATTAAAAGTGAAGAAGCCAGAGCATAATTGAAGTGCAGTGAATAAAGATGAAAGTCTTGTTTAGAGACAGCACACCACACACTAGAGCAAAAACAACCAGTTCGTGAAGAAAGGGGGTAGGTTATAATATATTTTTTTCTCTCTGTTTTTTGTATAATATAAAGATGGAAGTCAGAGCTCTGCCACTGAGCTGTATCCCCAGCCCTTCTGTTTTTTTTTTTTTTTTTTTTTGAGATAGGATCTCACTGAAGTGCTAATGCAGGCTACTAACCTTTGGTCCTCCTGCCACAGCCTTCTGAATAGCTGGGGTTACAGGCACATGCCATTTTATTTGGCCTGAATATTTCTTTAGTCATTGAGCTTTTCTGAGCAAGTGAATGACAAGATCAGATTCTGGAGGAAAAAAAGCAATTAGTGTAACAAGAGACTAAGGGAGTGAATGATGAAGTGGCATGAAACAAGCGGTAGATGTGTGAGAGAGGGCTATTTAAGCAGTGACTTGCTAGGGTTTGGCAACATAGAGGGAGCCTGAAAGCTGGAGTGGTTAAAGGGAGAGGATACCATCACCAAGATTGGGAGTAACACTAGAGGAGGCTCGCTGTGAATCAGGAGCAGGTGTGCTGCCTCTGAATCTGCTTGCTGCACAGGGAGGGCTGCCTGGACTTTTTCATTGCAAACATAAAGTTGGCACTTCTGTAAAATTAAGAATAAAGTTATAGACTTGGCAGTAGCAGGAAGGAAGGAAGAGATGTGTTAAAGGTGGAGTGTTTGCATGGGAAATAGAAGGGGATAGATGATCAAAGCATCACTTTTGTAAATACCAGGTTCTTCAGTTTCTAATTCATGGGAAAATGCAATGGAGACTGATTGAAAAGAAGGGGAAAGTTTCTGCCGAGATTAGTTTTGCCAGGACTGTAGCTCTTAACTAATTTTATTAGTTCCTAAATTATAGTGTTTAATAGAATAAATAACTAGCAAAAATGCTGCATGAAGAACCATCTATATTTTACCTGCCAAGATCTCCATTCAGATTAATGTTACCTAAGATCACTGTATTGTTAATACCCTTAAATTGTCTTGGGCTGAAAGAGGAATATGTAATTAAATATTGAATAGCCTGGCATCTCAGTTCAGAGGAAGAGCTTTTTATGGTGAAATGAACTCTGAAGCTAGGTTGGTTGGTTGTTTGTTTATTTAGCAGTACTGGGAATTGAACCCATGGCTGTGCAAGCACTCTACCCCTGCCCCACAAACTACTTAAAGTGACAGCTCAGAGAATCCAATTGCATAGTTTCCAGACATTGCTATTGTATTGTGCATTGTCCTGTGGTATCATAGTATAAAATGTAGCTAGTCTTTGTGCTCAGTTCCTGTCACAGAGCTCCTAAAACCCTAGGAATTTGCTGAGTGATAGTAGTGGCTTTTATTATTTGCAGTGAACTTCCCACCCACCAACCCTTTTATTTGTTCAGTTCTGGGGATTGAATTCAGGTGCTTGAACACTGCACTACATCCCTAACCCTCTTTATTTTGAGATGGGGTTTCACTGAGTTGCTCAAGTTGGCCTTCAATTTGTGATCCTTCTGCCTCAGGCCAGTGCCATTGTGCTTGGCTCACATTTCACTCTTCTGATCACACCCAAGTTTATGCTAATGGTGTAACTTAAAGTGGGGATCCTAAATATTCTCTGGATATGGCACTAGTCAACCAAACAACCCAGTCATTAGATTGTTGGGAATTTGAACCCCACCCACTGACCACTGAGCTGTTACTTAAAGAGGTGGAGAATCTCAGAGACACCCTTCCAATTAAAGCAAAAACCCACAGCCTGATGTCATATCTCACCTACCTATTGCTGTCTAATGTATCAGTATTGTCATAACAGAATCAAATGTTTCTGTACTGAACATTGTTACACCAATACAGAGTCTTGGGCCAAGTGTAAAACCTTAAATTTTGGTTGAGTAACCTGTTATCTCTATGTCTAGGTTTGTCTTGCCTCTTTTCTTTTTTTTAAACCTCTTTCCTTGTTCCAGGAAAACAGGTGGAATTTACCTTCCTCCATTTTAGGAACTATTTTAACATTTTTTTCCAGAGGAGATAATCCATATAAGCATAAAGCCAAAGATATCAGCTGCCAAATATCTGAAATATAGAAAATGGGTTGCGTTTTCTTCAACATTTTTGAGTGGATGACTCTTGACAACCACCTTTTTTTTTTTTTTTTTTTTAAAGACAGTGGCATTTGAAGAAATTTCCATTTGGGATCAATTCACTGATTATACTCATTTCCCGCTTTTGGCTTTGCTAGATTATGCAGAGCAATCTAGCTGGTACTTGAGGCTCTACCAGCAGAATCTACATCAGATACCTTGGGCCAGGTGTGTTTTGCATTTGCATGGCACCATAGGGTTCTCTCTCACCTTGCATAACTGTGGACACAGAATTTTGAAGACATCTTTTTAATATTTTCTTGATTCAATGTGTAAATAACTTTCTATTCAATGATAACATATTCCAGTAGGGAATGAGTGAGCTAGCTCTTGTTTTTGCCTTTCATTATGTGATAGTGGAAGGACTCCACCTCAGCCTCTGATTCTATTTTACTTCAGTTAAAAATGTTTTAATGAAGGTAGAGAGCTCCAGGACAGCCACTTTCTCAGTCTCTTCTAGAGTTCATGGATTTGAGTAATATGAAGACAGAGTGCTTTGTGTTTCCATGTTCTGTCACATGCATGATGTTGTTTGATCCTAAAAGACCCCATAAAGTAAGAGGTGTCACGATAGTGTTGATCTTCTATTGCAGGTAAACAGACCAAGATTCTGAGGGGGTGGGGAGATCTTGAGTAAGACAGCTAGTGAGGGCTAAACTTGGGCGTTGAAACTGAATGATTTAATTTGCAGTGCTGGGGATTGAACCCAGGACCTCATATATGCTAGGCAAATACTATACCACTGAGCCATACCCTTAACCCGAACTGGATTTTTAAAATCTCCAAATACCCACCACATTTAATTCAGTGAAGCAGTCCCAGGGCTTTCTGTGTTGGTGTGGGTTTCTTCTGCAAAAAGGTTACTCTTGTTGAACTCCAGACATACACATTATTTAAGTCCTTTATATCCTTGAAAATTAAAATTGTTGCTTTCTGAATTAATTTGAAAAGATATGTGATTTTGCTAGTTGGGTACTGTCAGTTGGCAAGTTCCTTAAGTATACAGAGAAAAGAGGTTCAGGCAGTGAGAAACAAAGCCTGAGTGACTTGCCCAGGTTTTTTGGGTTTTCAGCTCTTTCCTCTCAGTAACTTGGAATCCTAGAACCTGCTTAGTGGGGTCCTGGTTATCAAGGAAGGTCTTGTTCTGAGAGGGGTGTGAGTCCCCTTTTAGAAGGTGTGCTGCTTGGCTCTAGTCCAATCCCTTTCACAGAATGGAAAAGGAGGTGCTTACTGATTGAAAAAGGATCTCATTCATGCTCTCATATTTTGCCATCACCTCCCTTTTCTCCCAACAGTGGGCTACCTTGAGAATGGAGAGAGGAGCCAAGGAGAAGAACCACCAACTTTATAAGCCCTATACCAACGGTAAGATTGTGTCTTGATTCTTAGCCTAAAAGAGCTCTTTGAAATATGTTCCTAAGTGCTTTCAATTGTACACTTAGTCTGTTTTCTGTTCCTATAACCTGAGAGTGGGTAGTTTATAAAGAAAAAAAGGTTTATTTGGCTCTTGATTCTAGTGCATAGGGAAATACAGGGTGCAGTAGCACACGCCTGTAATCTTAACGGCTTAGGGGAGCTGAGACAGGAGAATCTCAGTACAAAACCAGCCTCAGCAATGGCAAGGCGAGACACTAAGCAACTCATTGAGACCCTGTCTCTAAATAAAATACAAAATAGGGCTGGGGATGTGGCTCAGTGGTCAAGTGCCCCTGAGTTCAATTCCTGGTACCAAAAGAAAAATCCAGATAGCATAGCATGGCATTGCTGAGAGCCTGGCTGCTTCACGATGTGGTAGATGGCATCACATGGCAAGAGAGCATGTGTGAGGGAAGGAAGAAGTGAGGAGGTGGTACGTGATGAGAGAGTACCCAAGAGAATGGGGAGGGTCTGATCTTGCTTTTTGAAAATTAGTTCCTTATCTTGCAGGAACTAATCCACTTCTGCAGATCTGACTCCCCAAGATACCAGTGTTTGTCCTCTGACCAGGACATGACCCCATGACCTAATCACCTTCCATGAGACCTCACCTCTTAAAAATGCATAGCTCTCAATAATTTTTTGAATCTTTAGGGGGACACATTTAAAATGTCGTTAAACCATAGCACACAGGTACCCTTCACTATTTAAAATGCAGTATTTGTACCCTATTTCTAACATGCTCCTTCCTAACTTGCTGCTTGACCAGGGTATTCTCTTTTGTAGGAATCATTGCTAAAGATTCTACTTCACTAGAAGAAGAGATCAAAGAGATTCGCCGAAGTGGTAGTAGTAAGGCTCTGGATAATACTCCAGAGTTTGAGCTCTCTGACATTTTCTACTTTTGCCGGAAAGGAATGGAGACCATTATGGATGATGAGGTGACAAAGAGATTCTCGGCGGAGGAATTGGAATCCTGGAACCTGCTGAGCAGAACCAATTATAATTTCCAGTACATCAGTCTTCGGCTTACTATCTTGTGGGGGTTAGGAGTGCTGATTCGGTATTGTTTTCTTCTACCACTCAGGTGAGGGCAAGGTCTGGTGAAGATAAAAGACTTGACCTGCTTTCCCTAAGCCCGAAGCATGATCTGCCTATCTCTCTGTTTTGTTTTCCCATTTTAGAAAGAATAGTGTGGTTCTTTCATTTTTCAGTCCATCTGACTCTTGAAAAAAGGTACCTTGGTATGGTTATCCTTTAAAGGCTCTTGGATTCTCTGCATATCAGACGGAAATAGTAGGGTTTTATGAAGATAGATTGCTTGTCTAGATGGACTGAACACAGGGACAGGGAACATCATGTGCCTTCTGGGCATGGCCTTTCTTCCTGAAGCTCGCCTCTCCAACACAGAGGCGCTGGCGATTTCTGTTTTTCTGTGCTGTGTGTTCCGAGGATGCCTTGAGACATGCCAGTACCTTTAGGCTCTGCCTCCTATTGCTTCAGAGAGGCTTTGCTTCAGCCAGGGTGTAAAGCCAGAGGGCAGGGGGAAGACAGCAGGACAGTAGTTGCCCAAGGGCAGAACAGCTTGCTTTAGGGTTTCCTGTCACTCTAACTGCCTGATGCCTGAGGTGCTAGTCAGCTGAGAAACAGATTCATAGTTGGCTTCCCATTTGGAATTATAGTGATCCCTGGTTCTGATAGTCTGCTTGCATTTCTGGGTGGAACTTGCCTGGTCTTAGGTGCTCAGATCTTGCAGGTGGTTTTGGGGATTCCTGCTTTCATTTTCACACATTCACTTGGTTTGCTGTGTTATTTGTCTTCCTGTTACAGGATAGCTCTTGCGTTCACGGGGATTAGCCTCCTGGTGGTGGGCACAACTGTGGTGGGATACTTACCGAATGGGAGGTAAGTAGAGCACAAGTGCTCAGTTGTGGTGCAGTCAGTTCTGGGAATGGTGGCTGATACTGCAGGCCAAGCCACTCCTTCAGATACTAACCCAATCCATAAAGTAACCCTGTGGTAACAATAAAGGCTTTCATTTAGTGATTGATCTTGACCTGTGACTATTTTGTTTGGTTTTGGGTTTTTTTGTCCTTCAGCCTTCCTACTCTTCCCATTTTAAGACAAAAAGGCAGAAACCACAAAAACATAGAGTCCAGGGCCCAAGTGTTAACAGTTTTAATAGCATATCACTTAATTTTGAGCATTCTGCTAAGTTGATAAATTGATGGGATAAGGAAGAGGGTAAAGTTTTAAAAAATAATTAGGAATGCAAGTAGATTTTGTCTTTTTTTTTTTAAGCTTTGTTCTTTCAGGGAAGTTGTAGGGCTAGCAGACTTCTCTAATGCTGGGACTGGTGAGGAGGTTGAACTCTGGGCTTGGCCTGCCTCTGGGAATGACTAGGGGAAAGGATTCGAGGAGATACCCTGGCCCACCTGTGTTGGGAGTTATAGGCTATGAATACTGAACCAATAACGTAGGGGAATGTAAGCAAGTCTTGTTGCCATTTCTTTGTTTCATCTTGTGTGACATAAAGAGGCTAATACCTTACAGGGTTTACAATACTCAGTAATATTTATAAAAGCATTTTGCAGACTTAAATAGTTGGAGTCAAACTTGTCCCATCTTCTTACATGTAAGATAAAACCTCAAACTTTTTTCTATTATTGCAGGTTTAAGGAGTTCTTGAGTAAACACGTTCACTTGATGTGTTATCGGATCTGTGTTCGAGCTCTAACAGCCATCATTACCTATCATGACAGGTGAGGCAACTTTGTTTTGATGCAAAGGGAGATGGTGCTGGCCCAAACTGTGACTTGGACTCACCTGCACTCAACCAATTGCAAAGAGACTTCTGAGCTTTAAGTTAGAGCTGGTGAAATTTGTGAGGTGAGAGATATGCTCTAAGTTAATCATTTCACACTCACTTTTATTGCTTTGCATATTTTTTTACACTAGGAAAAACAGACCAAGAAATGGAGGCATCTGTGTGGCCAATCACACATCTCCTATTGACGTGATCATTTTGGCCAGTGACGGCTACTATGCCATGGTAAGTTTTTTCCTCCTATTTTTTTGAGGCAGGACTCCTTAAAGGGTCAGAATTGGTTGACCTCTGAACCTTTCACAAAGCACTTTCTTAAGGGTATAAGTATGTGAGCATATTGTTACCCTTGGACCCTAATCTAGATTGTCACTTTGGGGAACTCCTTGGACGGGGGACTAGGGACTTGGAAATAGGAGGTATTCTGAAGTGATAAGATTGTGGCTAAAGTTGGTACTTCGGCTTTTTTTTTTTTTTGGCAAACCATGGAAGTAAGGGTACAGGATGAGGATGGGGACTTGAAAGGACTGGATTCAAGGGCATTTGAGAATGGCCAGAGGGGCATTTTATTCATTCATGCATTTGCAATACTGGGGATCAAACCCAGGACCTCACACATACTTAAATAAGCAGCTCTACCCCTGAGGTATGTCCCCAGCTCCTTTTTTATTTTTGAGACAGGGTATTAAAGTTTCGCAGGCTGTCCTTGTCCTTGAAATCACCCTGCCTCTGAAGTAACTGGGATTATAGGTGTGTGCCACTGCACCTGGCACACACCTGGGAGGGACACATGGGATCACTCAACTTTACTATTTAGTTTTAGGGTTTTAAGTTATGTCTTTAATTGTATATCTCTGGTTAAAAGGAGACATTTAGGATTCAGAGTGGTTTTTTGATAGTGAGAAATCTGCAGTTAGCAATCATATCTATGAAGGTTGGAGTACTCATTTTTGGGACCTATGGCTTCTCCCTAGAGTTGGGGGTATTGTGAGAGGGTGGCTTCCTAATTATTCTTTTGTCTGAGATTAGGTGGGTCAAGTGCACGGGGGACTCATGGGTGTGATTCAGAGAGCCATGGTGAAGTCTTGCCCCCACGTCTGGTTTGAGCGTTCTGAAGTGAAAGATCGCCACCTGGTGGCTAAGAGGTAAAATGAACAATGCTATTTGCCCAGTTGGAACATAAACAAGTTTTAGGAGTAGTTATCCATCCAATGTAAAGTTATAATTCACTGTAGAGTATAGTTCTACACAGGGCCTATACTCTTCTCATAATGAATTTTTTCCTAAAACAATATGAAAAGTATAAGCTGGTTGTGATGTATGTACACCTGTCATCACAGCAACTTGGAAGACTGAGGCACGAGGTTCACAAGTTAGATGCCAGCCTCAGCAACTAAGTGAGACTCTGTCTGACAATAAAGAATTTAAAAAAAAAAAAAAGGTCTGGAGATGTAGTTTAGTGGTACAGCACCCCTGAGTTCAATCCCCAGTATCATAAAAAAAGTTAATTAAAAGTATGAACTTTCTGGCTGGGGATGTGCTCGCTGGCATGCATGCAGCCCGGGTTTGATCCTCACCACTACATACAAACAAAGATGTTGTGTCCGCTGAAAAATAAATAAATAAATAAATAAATATTAAAATTCTCTCTCTCTCTCTCTCCCTCTCTCTCTCTCTCTCAAAAAAAAAAGTATGAACTTTGATTGCTATTAGAAATCTCCAAACAGATTCGTTATCATACACACACACACACACACACACACACACACACACACAAAAACTCCTCTGGAAAAGAAAAGAGAAAGAAACACACACAAACTGCTGCTCAGTCTCCTTCTGGTGCATGTAATGAAAAGAGTTGCAGTAATGACATCAAGACTCAGTTGAGTTTATCTTCCACAGGTCTTTGTGAACCTCCCACTAAATTCTTTTTGCTATACCTTTGCTTAGGGACAGAATATTGAGACAAGGGACTGTCTGTTTTCCCCAGTTTTAACAGAGTACCTGAGATCGGGTAATTTATGAAGAGAAGCTTATTTTGATTCACAGCTCTTCGTGGCTGGGAAGTTCACATTTGGGTGACCACATCTGGCAAGACCTTCATACTTCACCATAACATAACAGAAAAGCAGAAGTGGCAACAGGCAGGTGCAGATGAGACAAAACACAAGAGGCTGCCTTGCTTTCTAATACCCTACTTTTTTTTTTTAGGACAGGAATAAGTTGTTTAACAGACATTACTCTTTTTTTAATATTTATTTATTTAGTTTCAGGTGGATATAATATCTTTATTTTATTTTTATGTGGTGTTGAGGATCGAACTCAGTGCCCCGCACACACCAGGCAAATGTGCTACCACTTGAGCCACATCTCCAGCCAACAGACATTACTCTTAAAGAAACTGATCTAGTACCATGAAAACTGCATTAATCCCTCTTAACAACTTAATTACTTCTTAAAGGCCCCGCCTCCCAACACTGTCATAAGGCAATCAGATTTCACCATAAGTTTTTTTGTGTGGGAGGACAAGTACCAAGGATTGAGCCCAGGGGAATTTAACTGCTGAGCCATATCCCCAGCCTTTTAAGTTATTATTTTTTAAATTTTGAGACAAGGTCTCACCAAGTTACTTAGAGCCTTGCTAAATTGCCACTGTAACTGGCTCACCACGAGTTTCTGAAGGGATAAACCATAGCAAGGTCCAACCAAGCATGGCTGTTGCAACAAGACTTCTGAGAGTGCTGTTTGTGAGCCTCCTGCAGATAGTACTAAGTCTGAGCAGCATCCTTTGTGTGTAGACTTTAATACTGAATTGAATGATTATATGGATTAAATAGTAGTACTCTGCCCTTATAAATTTTCTTCATGAGTTATAGATTTGGGGTTTATTAAAAAACAAGGGTTTATTAACATGCCCAAGCTAGTGTGACATATATTAATCACTTTGATGATGATTGGCTTGAGGTTATCTATTTCTTTGTCTTATTTTTTTTTCCTAAAGACTGACTGAGCATGTACAAGATAAAAGCAAGCTACCTATTCTCATCTTCCCAGAAGGTAAGAAGGAGTTGGTCCCCACAGAGCTGCAGTGTTGACCACTGTGCAGGATTGCAGCTCTATGGTCACCTTTAGATTGGTTGTGGGACTAAAAACTCAGGGAAATTCAGAATTTGGACTAAGAGATTCACAGGGTGAATTTCCTCAGTGCAGGAATATCTTCTGTGGTACTGCTGACAGTAAGTACCCTTTCAGCTTCTTGTGGAGTCTACCAAATGTCTTTGGCCTTCTTCTAGGCTGGTGTGTGGGAATCAGGGAAAGTGGCCTGTAAAGAGAAGGAAGTGGGGCTGGGGATATAGCTCAGTTGGTAGAGTGCTTGCCTCGCATGCACAAGGCCTTGGGTTCAATCCCCAGCACCAAAAAAAAAAAAAAGAAAAGAAAAGGAAAGGAAATACAACATTTTGCCTGACTCTTGTAAGTGTTCATTTTATAAGTTGAGGTTATTATAGGTTTTTCCTATTTTATTATTATATTTAGTGTGGAAGAAATTCCTAATATTTCAGGTAAAGGACCAGAAAAAAAAAACAGCGTTTTATATTCTCTCTTGCATTTTAGGAACCTGCATCAATAATACATCAGTGATGATGTTCAAAAAGGGAAGCTTTGAAATTGGAGCCACAGTTTACCCTGTTGCTATCAAGGTACAAGACCTCTGAGGATGCATGCTGTCTTTATCACAGCCACCAAGGCCGGATACAGCAAGAAGGTGGAGGCTGGAGCTGATGTACCAGTCAATGAGTTGCTCTTCTCCAGTATAGCAATGCTGGGCTACCGTGGGTCCAGTGCTAGCAGAAGGAGAATACCAGTGGGTTGCCACCCTATCACAAAGGACTGGGGAGTATTCAGAGGAGATAACCACCCACTTCCCGATTTAGGAAATGAATTACTTTTTGGTTAGAATGAGGACCACAGCTACAGACCCTTTTCCCACAAAATGTCATTTCAACAGCCATTTACCTCTATTAGAATCATTAACAAATAAAAAAATTTATGATACGCCTACTACTTGGTGGCAAGTACAGTGCCTACATGGTTGAGACCTCATGAGACTCTTGGTTTGTGACCATGTGCTAGTGAATATTAAGCTTCCTGCCTGAATGGATAATTTGCTTTGATAGAATTATAAATACAGAAACATAAGCTTTCGAATTGTTTGAGTCTAGGCCAACAAAAAGAGATGAAAATCCCTTTACTTCACAGATGCACACTAAATATATTTATGAGTGAATGACATGCTGTTAGAGATAGGCCTTACATGAGGGGAGAGGATAGATGAAACAAGCATGATGATATGTTGACGATTTTGAATCTGGGTAATGGGTATATTAGCTTAGTCTCTGTTTTGGATCTGTTTGAAAACTTTATTAATAGAGTGTATGTGCCTATGGGTGAGACATGAAGCTGTCCAAGGAGAGAAGACATTTGTTTGATGATGGCTGTTAGAAGAAGCTTCCCTGTTGAGGCAGAAGCTGAGAGTAGTCTGGGGAGATTAGCGTGGCTAAAGTTCAGAGCTACCTGGGTGTAGAGTTGCTTCATAAGTGTTCATGTCGGGGGTAGGGTTAGGAGCAGCTCTCTAACCCTTATACTGCCTCAGTGGGTTCATTCACGAGCATTGCTGTTGATACCACATGTTCAGAACTACTCACTTCTTAATGTCCATTGTGTTTTAGTATGACCCTCAGTTTGGTGATGCCTTCTGGAATAGCAGCAAATATGGAATGGTGACATATCTACTGAGAATGATGACCAGCTGGGCTATTGTCTGCAGTGTTTGGTACCTGCCTCCCATGACCAGAGAGGTAAGTGCCTCCAGCTGTCAGAGGTCTTCATTTAGCTACATGTGACCATGAGCCATGGCTGAATGGCCTTTATTCATTTCTTACTACAGAAAGATGAAGATGCCGTCCAGTTTGCCAATAGGGTGAAATCTGCTATTGCCAGGCAGGGAGGATTGGTGGACCTGCTGTGGTAAGTGCAAAGTGATGTCGTGGAGTCTAGGGGAACTTGTGTTTCTGAAGCAGATGCAGAGTCATCAGCTTCCTTTACAAAGGCTCCTTTCCTTCCTGGTGTAGTGAATGAAACCCACCATCTCTGGAGACAGAGCACTATGACTTCTTTTCCCTAGTCCCGACTCAGAAGTACGCTGTGCCTTGATCTCTGGGAGCATGGAATTCAGGATGCCTAGACTGAAGCAGTGAATTTCATGTACCTTTCTGGAGTTGTACCACTATGTCAGGGTACCTAGACAGTTCTCATCTTTAGATAGGGATGACCTGAGGCTGATCTGAAATCTCAGGAGTATAACGCTTCTTCTGATTTCAGTGTATTTGACGGAATTGAACCATCCTTAGAAAGGCAAAAGTTTCATTTATTACATTTAATTTATTACCTACTAGAGCTGGAGTTAACATCTTTTCTATAATAAATCAGTAAATGTTTTAGGCCTGTAATGTCTGTCACAGCTGCTTGCTTCTGCCATTATAGTGTGAAAGCAGCCAGGATTAGAACTTGAGTAAATTAATATGACTGTGTCCCAATAAAACTTTATTTATAAGAGCAGATGTCAGGCTGGATTTGGCCCATGGACATATTTTATCACTTTTTATCCTAGGGTCTGAGGTAATTATGCTTCATACAAGAGGAGGTTGATCTGTATGAATGCTGGTTCAGAACATCATTGCTACATTCTGAAGGGCATGGAGGGCATGGATCAGTCATGGAGGACATTTGGCTAGGTGGGCCTTATGAAAACAGAAAGTATATAGACAATCAAGTTTTAAACTGAACTATGGATTTTCATGTAATAGCATGGCCTTGGGAATATGGCCTTTTAAAAAATATGAATGTTTACTGAGCACTTAATTTACCAAACACTGTGTTTCTGATATGCTGTGATGTTCTTGTTTCACCGTCTTGAAAACATGGATATAAAAAAAAATCATTATTCCTTAAATTAAGAAACTAAAACTCAAAGAAGTCAAGTCACTTTTCCCCAAAGTCACAAAATAAGCACTAGAGATAGACAGTTTTTACAGACAATTGAGTTTCTGTATTTCTTGAAGCTTAGCTCTCCTCCCATAATGCCAGAATACCCCTTAGCTTCTGTAAGTTGAAGGTGAATGTCAGAGCAGAAACAATGTTAAAAACTGCTTGATAGGTATAAGCAGTTACACAGTGCTTTTAGAAGAATCATGAATGTCAACCTCTGGGCAAGAGAGAGCTGTCTAGGCTGGTTTCTATTGACATCCTAAAGAAAAAAACTATGGAGTATCATTGTTTCTGACCAGTTTTTCCTGGACTTTGAGGAGCAGCACAGTGCGTCTGCCATGATGTGGGTGGGCCACAGCGCCTTCTCTGCTTTACATGGGTCTTTTTCTCATCAGGGATGGTGGACTGAAGAGGGAGAAGGTGAAGGACACGTTCAAAGAGGAGCAGCAGAAGCTATATAGCAAGATGATTGTTGGGAACCACGAGGACAGGAGCCGTTCCTGAGTCTGTGGCTCACATTGGCTGAAGCCACCATGCCTGAATCCTGACGTGTGAGCCAGCTGGATTTGTTGCTGCCACTGCTGCACCACCGCCACCGCCCCCACTGCTGCATCCTTCCAGACCCTGGGGCCCTCTGGGGCTGTTCCAGATCTCAGGACTCCAGCCGCTTCAGAGCCTTTTGGGGATCCCTGGGCTCTGGGGCAGCACAGCCTGCCCTTTGCTGTCTGAAGTGAATGCTGCTGGGTGTTGCTACCCAGGACAAGATGCCTTCTTGTTCTTTTACAATAAGTCCATTGGAGGAATGCCATTAAAATCAGCTCTCCACTCTGTGTGTTGTGCAGGGCTGAGCAGTCGGGAAGATTGGCCACATTCCCTGTTAAGACGTTGGGTGTTAGTCTGTAATTGTTGCCCACATGCCAGGGACTGTGCTGGGGAAGGTCCACTGGCTCCTGAGGAGAGGCACTGCCAATGCCTAAATATCACCCCCCCCCCCAGTCTTGGAACTCTGTACACTTGAAAAGAAAATTGTTGTCTGCATTCACCAAAACGAAGTTTTAAATTCTTGTGCTACTGCTTATGGGAAATCACCAGAGGGGATGGAAAGAGACCAGGTGTGGACCACTGACTAGTCTGGTGAGAGCCAGGAGTTATTTTCTGTTTAAACTCCAGGCTGAGCCTGAATTTCCTATGTGACTTGCTCTATGTTTAATGTGTGCCTCATTTCCTCATCCATCATGTGGATCAGGAGGGGAAGGGTGATGATACCTACCTCACAGGGTTGTTGTGGGGATTCAAGTGCTGAGGGACATGTAATGTGCAGTGTCACAAGTACAGGTTCATGGGATGTGGCAGGACAAGGTCTGAGCTCAGAGCTGCTGCACAAGGCGTTGGACTTGTTTTTGTGAGTAATAAAACTGAATGGTGAATGAATTGAGGGACTTTTCCCTTCACTCACCCTCCCCTGCATGTAGCCCTGAGTAACGTGTTTTTTGTCAAAGTTACAATTCTCGTACTTGACTTGTGACCCTGGGACCTCAAGGATCCACTTGGCCTCTGGATGAGTATTATTTTGTTCAGAAGATAAACATCTCACATTTGCACATTTCTGTTAATTTAGAATTAACAGCATAGACACAGATTTCTCCACAGTTGGGAACCACAGGATTTGAGGGCACCAATTTGTAGAGCTTGTGGAGATTGGACAATGTTGGGGACTGTTTGGATGTGAGGACCCTGGGAGGCATGAAATATATACAGCAGGGAAAGGGAGGATCAGAGGTCCTGGAGAGGGTTGGCAGGTGAGGCAGGATAGGCAAGGATACTGGTGCATCACGTGCTTCTATACAGCTGATGGGTAAACTGCAGGTCTCCTGGGCCTACCAGGTCACTTTGCAGTTACTGTAAAGGCACATCCAAAGCCAAACCATTCTCATTGGTTCTTCTGCAGTCCCAGTTTTATATTCCTCTGAAGAGAGCGTTGCCTCAGCCCATTTATCCATCTTCCCATCCCTCCACCATCCCCTCCTCAACTATGGCACAATCTTGGCACTTTTCAGGATTCTGCCCCAGCTGTGGTGTCATATTTCCAAGGTTGCCCACTGGCCTGGGATTTGGGGATGTGCTGGGAGTGAGATCAGGCTCCTGAAATATGAACTCAACATCACTCATGCTTGAGGACCCAGTCCCCTTTGACCCTGTGATGTCACTCATCCTTGTCATCTTCCTGTCATCTCCCACGTGGCCTCCTGTTTCCTCCTACCTGCCTTTTTGCCTAGTCAGTGGAAAACTTTTCTCTCTCAAATAAAAACCCTGTTATGACTCTTCTTAAGAAAAGTCTCTTATGAACTGTTTTATGTAATGTTCAAGAATAAAAAGTGACTTTCAGCTTTTATAGGAGGTGATGTTTGTAGTGTCTCAATGCCAAGTTGGAATGACCTTTAAAAATTGGTCTTGAAGGTCAAGATCCCTTCAAAGAAGTTCCTCTAAAATTTCATTCATGTTCTATCTTATTTCATGGTTTGCATAGGTTTTTCAAAAATACATTTTGTTTTTGTTTTCACTTATCTCCACATTCTGCACACCTGACAGGAGAAAGGAGGTGAATTATTCCTGCAAAAATGAAGTCTGTGACATTCTTATTTAGTGCTCATTAAAGGCTTTCAGACCCTTCCTACTGCTCCATCTTATTTACTGGTGCTTCTGCTGGCCCCAAGTTGTCCATAAGTCAGAATACTTGGTTTGGGATTGCTGGGTTGGTCTCATGTGCTAAAACTGCACAACACCTAGAAATATAAAGCAACATAAGGTATAAACTATACTGGCTCTTGAGGTCTCAGCCAAGGTAAAGATGGGCTTTGAGTAAAATCAAGTGGCCTTAGTGGAGGGAGTGTTGGCCAGCTTCAACCCTTTCCAAAATTACTGCTCCTTTGCTATGTTACTTTTATTTCTATTGAGTCTATATCTTGATTGATAACTAGGGACTTGGGGTAGGACCTCTGAGGCCATTTCCATCTCTGGAATTTCTGTCATTGTAAACCCGTATTTCAAACAGCTTTGAGCTCTAAAGTAGTCTGGGTTTTAAAATAAAAGTCAATTTTCAACCCATTTGCTCGCTCTCAGGAAATTTCAGGCTAGTGAAACTAAATCACTAGAGAGTGTCCCCTTGTGTAGAGTTGAGTCCCCAAGTGATATAGGAAATTGTTGAAGCTGGGCCCGCACTTCTTGTAGGCTGGGTGGATTGTGGATCTGGGACAGACTTTTCACTCAGGCATGAGACTTTTATCCAGCCCATTAGAGGAAGAACGTTCTAATAAGGCTAGTAAAATTCCCCTGACAGTGAAAACTCAATAGAAGGCTGTCGGCCAGGCCAGGCTGGGTAAGCTAAGCTTGATAGAGCAGTTTGAGATGACATCCTCATGATGGTAAACTAACCTTGGAGCTTGCTTATTTAGTATTAGCCCCTACTCCCTATTGCCACTCTCAGGTGAAAAAAGGCTTGATTGTGTGAGGTGTGGTTGTCAGGCCAGCTATAAGGGGTCTTTGGGCACCATCATGTTGTAGACCTTCATGGCAAAAGCAGTGGTGGGCACTAACCCTGCTACCTTGTGGAAATATGTGTCTATAAACCCTATCATTTCCTTCCTGAAATTAACCAAAAATGCAGTTCTCAATGGGACAGTGCTTCCTGCTGCTCCCCTATGTGTGAAAGGTTTCAGTGTTGCAGGCTCCATCTACCTGCTGCATGTCTTGGGTGGCCAGACTCTATTTCTCTAGGTGTGCTCATCCTGTGTGGCCTGGGACACCCAGGCTGGAAGGGCAGCTGCATGCACACTGACTCTTGGACAGGTTAAGAGACGACCATCCAGCCATCCATCTTCTACTGCACTCACACCCCTTCTCCCCCCAGTCAATATGTCTCTCTCCGATGGGAAAGTTAATAAATTTTGCTCTAGATTAAAAGTATTGATCATTTCATTTGTAAACGATAAATAAAAAGGGGGAACTTTTCATTGCACCAGGGGTAGCGTCTGGTGTATTTTGCTGGTGAAATTTCTCTAGCTGTTGGAGGGGTGGGCTTCTCATATGCATTCCGGCCGGCCAGCTGCATTGATTTCCTATTAGTCTCCCAGCACCACCCAGTAACACATCATTTCAGTACCTGCTATTAATGGTCTTTTGATAAATAATCACTTGTAAGTCAATAAATTTTTATTAAACAGTGTGGCTCTTTGATTTATTAAAATCCGACCGTGTTTGTCTGGGAGAAAAGGGATGCTGAATTGAAGTGGAGGTTTTCATACATCTTCCTGACGCCAAGCAGTCACCATACACTCCAGAGAAAAACAATTGCATTTTAACAGAAACAAAACAGCCGAGTTTGGAACTTGGGCCCAGGGAAACTTTATCTCCGTCAGTGTGGGGCTTACTCTGCAGGGAGCAGCCTTAGACCCACAGGCCTGCAGGCCCGTGGGCACCACTGTGTCAAGAACTTTGTGTTTGCTTCTGAGAGGTGAAGTTCCTGGGCTTCTGGACCCCTACATGACTGCATTCTGGGATAGAACCAGTGGCCTATGGGGGTCCCACAGAGCCCACAGGTCAGCCTTCTCTCAGCAGGAAGGTGGACCCTACAGCAGACACCCTATGCAAGTAGACATTTGAAGTCAACCCGAGAGCTGGGCTGCAGGTCCTTTTAGCTGCCTTGGCCAAGTCTCCACCGAAGTCACATCTTGGGACAGGAAATGCCAAGAGACAGTATATGTTACGTGGATTATTTTTTAAAGTGAGCCCCAAACTGAAGATTGGAGATTTTCATTGGCATAAAATTTGCTTCGAAAAGTTTGAATGTAGCTCAGTGGCAGAGCGCTGGCCTAGAAGCCGGGAAGTCCTGGGTTTGATCCCCAACACTGCAAAAAAAAAAAAAAAAAAAAAGTTTGACCATTAAGATGGGGCTGCAAACAAATTATTTTCTAGCAAGCAACCCAAACACTGAATACAGAATCAGAATTCTCAGCCTAGAAAAAAGTTAACAGAAAGGGGGAAAGTCTGTTTGTTAAAATGAATAGTTGGAATTCCTTCTCCTGACCCTGTCCCCATTCACATTAAGTGTGGCAGGTAGTAACAAGAGAAGGGCTTTTAAAAGTGGGAATTACTAGTAAATAAGTTTTAATATTTCTCAACCTGCTACAAGCTTTCTCTGTAGTTGTTTGGATTTCCTTTTCTATCCTCATCACAAGGGTGGAAAGTGGTGGCAGCAGGAGACCCTGAAGGTGAATAGGAAGCTGGGGAGCAGGTAAGTATTTGTGTTTTCATGAGCAGGGCTCGTTTTGTCCCCAGGTGCGGGAGTTTGGTCAATGAGCCCAGCTTCTCTTCCAGGGACCTGTGAGGCCTGTGCCTACAGCTCAGTTAGGCCCCAGCTCCAGGGACATACTAGTGGTGAGCCAGGCCTCCAGGCTGGCATAAATACAGCTTTCTAGAACATGAGTGACATTAAATGTGTCTTGCATTTTGCATGTGCAAAATTCAAGTTTACCTTTAAGGTAAAATGAGATTTTTCTGCAGAGTTTTACCTGGGCCGTTCTCTAGGCTTTGTTGATTCGTTCTCACTGTTCTTCCCCTGTTCAGGTTCATTCCATTTGTTAGGAGGACTTTGGTGGGAAGCTGGAAAGGAATCTTCTCAGTTTCTTATGTTCTATGAATCATTAAGTCAAATGTATGCCTTTGGGAGAGGAATGACTTTCTTGGCAGTTTCCATTCTAGTGGCTGGTAGAAGGCAAGTTTGGACAAAAGGGTTCCCAGGAACAACTGGGCCATCATCCAGCAGGTGCCTGCACCACCTGTTGATGTCACCAAACAGCAGGAAGTCAGAAAGTAGAGGTTAGGAGGAAGGAAGGAGACTTGAAGCTTCCAGAAAGAAAAGTCGGGCAATCCTTGGGCAGCTGTGACAGTTTGTTTCGTTTCCTTGACCCCGCAGGCCCTGGAATGCATTTAGAGTGTGTTTGAATCCCTCCGCTTATTGCTGACTCGGCTCCGAATGGCTGGAGCTGAGATCCAGGGAAGGGTAGCTAAGTGCCTTTCTCCTGATCTCATCTAGAGTTTGGGCAAAGTTGCTCCTAGGTTCCAGGAGCTTCCTGCCTTGGTTCCAAGGCATGGACAGGCACCTTACAACTCCCTACATAAAGAGCCAGTGGACACTGGAGGCTGGAGCCTTGCTTGGCCTGTGCAGCAGCGGTCCTGGAGGTGCCCAGCCCTCACAGGGTCCCTGTGCCTGCTGCTGCAGCAGTGGGCCTGGGAAGGGCTGCCTGCACGCAGATTGATCCACCAGCTGTGATTTGTCATTTCTCCGAGGCAGGCGCTGTTTTCTCTTGCTTCAGGAGGCCCCTTCGACACCTGCTTTATTTTTCTTCCTGCGCTGACGTGACGGGAGACAGGTGTTAAACTACTTAATCACTTTAAAATTGTTTTAATTTTCTGTTTTTTATTGATCTCTCCAGCACCAATTAATCAGCTCACTGGACCAGGCAGTTAGTACATTAAAAATTGTCAGGGAGGCCGTGCATCTTGCAAAATGTCTAAAAAATATTCGGCTAGCAAATTTTGTTTTTCTTTGGCATGCAACAGTCCTTGGCCCGTGGAACTCCCACTCGAGAAGAGCTTCCTCCTCTGGGGTTCCTATGTCAGGAAGTATTCAGGGTAGAGAAGGAACTCTGGCTTCCTGGAGAGGCACCAGAAGAAGCAAGTACCCTTTTCAGTACCAATCTGCCACCTTCCTGCCACATTTGTTCTGTTTCTCAGGCATCTCTGGGTCTCTTTTCCCCTGGGGCATTGGGAATTGTTGTGGAGGGGAGAACTTGCTCTGCTCCCTGCATCCTGACACTAGGAGGGCAGGACATCCTAGCCTACAGCTGCCCTTGTGGCCAAACCCTGTAGTCCTATTTCCTCTCCTTGGGACATCAGCACCTTTGTCTGTCCAGCCATGCCAAAGTCACCTCCCCTGGGGCAGGGGCCTTTAATTTGGTAAACTCTGTTGGCAAGCAGCTGTGTGTCCTGCTGCCTCATTATGTTACCTCAGTGATGGGCCTGAAGACTTTCTTCAGAATATTCTGGGCAACTGCACCCCCATGGTCACTATCATCCTGTCCTGTTCTGCAAATACTTGCCACTTGTCTTTTGTCACCCCTCTTGCAAATGATTTATTAATTGTTTGGCTGTACTTTCTGAATTAAATATACAGATAGAATAACTCCAGGCTTCAATATCACTTCTTAGGAGCAGAAATTTTTTTTCCCATTTTCACCTGATTTTCTGTCACTTTCTAAGGACAAGCCTTCTTTTTTCTGGGGGGGCAAATTAATTTTCATCTTCCAGTCTGCATGGTCTGGGCTGCTGATTCCTTTCCAAAGCATCATCTACCCACTTGCCCTTCTTCCTGCACACCCAGCAACCAGTGCAAATGGGGGAGGATTTTATCCCCTCCCCCATGCCTTTCTGTTCACATAGGAGCAACCCCAGTCTCTTTCTGGGAAAGTCAGGGTGTGGGTCCGCAATGGACCAAAGCTAGAGAGGGTGTGAGGCCCACCCAGGGGCAGGCACTGTGAGCCTTGTATTCTAGCTACCCGGATTTATCTTCCCCCCAGCCCCACCCACTCGGTATTAATCGGTATATGATTGGG